AATCGATTACTGCTTAATTAATTTTTGGAAAGTATATTATTAATTAATTTTCTGAAATCAGAAATTATTTTATTATTTTGCAATTCAAAGCATGCGTTTAATTTGCCGGCAACATACTTTATATATTAATTCAGATTTAATTATATGTATTATGGATTAATTATTACATCATTTCCTCCCTTCGCGAAGTTTATTATTACTCCAGCTTCGCTTATTAGAGTCTTTTTAAACGTTACGCATAAAGAGAGTTCCGTTTTCATTTAGCATATGAAACTTCCACGAGCTAAGCTGTATCGAGAGTTTACGTTACGCCATAATATACAACTTCTCGCAACGAAACTTCCACGAGATTGTATCGACCTGTCTAGCACCCCTTCGAGCAAAAATACAAGAACACGAAGATTACGATTTCATTTTAATAAACGGACCACTCGAAAGTGAACGTAACAGGTGCGTTTACACTTTTCTACATTTCTGAAATTTATGCATCACAGATTTGCAAACGGAAACTTGACATGAAGGAAACAGTGATCGCAGTTATTATCGCTTTTGCTTTTTTTTTTTAGATCAAAATATCATAAAATAAAATGTCGTCTTACTTGAACATTGCTGCCTTGAGGGAACACGAGATATTTGATTCCAATGTCCCTTTTGGATTTCACGAGTGAGCCGTTCGAAAACGTCGTCGACGTTGTAGAGCCTCCGAAGCGACACGCGAAAACGCCAAGTAGAATAAAGTGGTGGAGGTGATTAATCAGCATCGCGGTACGAAAATTTCATGCTCCGTCAAACGAAGTTCGAGTCCTAATCCTGACAATAGAATGCATTCGACGCATGCCCGTTGCTTGCTCTCGAGAACAAATGCTAATGAACTGCATTCGTCCGCGTCGAAAAGCAACGGTATTCCATTACTGTTTTAACGATGAGTAAATGGGAAATAATTTAACTGCGGTCTCCGCTCTTGTTTTATTTTTTCTCGGAGAAAAAGGCAAGCTTGAGAAAACTTGGGAAAATTTCGCAAAAAAGTATTTTTTACCTCGTGAATTAATTCGTGAATACTTAAGTAACTAGATAATAAAATTGAGAATATGAAATATCTGGATTAAAAATGCATTTTGTAAATGCTTTCGAACATTTCGCAGGTAATATGCAAATTTTACTACGTTCATTTATAACCATTAACCATTTTTTTTCTCTTGTTGCTGTATTTTTTCTAAATCTAATAAAATTATTCATCTTGATATATTTAAATCGCAAATGCGTATATATTGTTATTACCATTATACGATAATGTAATTAGTGGTATTAAGCACTCCAAGAATAATTAGTAAATTATCATTTTAATTGGTTATCGATTACACTAAAATAAATCATAAACTGACTAAATATTACGATTCAAATTACTGTCAAAGGACGCAATATAGTATTTTCTAAATACTAATTCTAATTTATCACTGGAAGCTGATAAAGCAGCAAAAGTCTTCTTCAATTTATCCGCGAAATAAATGTTTAACATTCTGCAGATAATATGTGCATAATTATTAACTATCCTCCTACGTTTTTAGATCCTGCAGCAAATGTTGCGTTTTCGCAATAATTTAATTATCTTTGGGATAAATTTCCGGCTAAAATAACTACAACACTAAACCAAGCACATACTATATATTATCGAATCAGATACATACCAGCAATCTAATTTAAACCGAATATATCTACTATATCACGAAATTATATCGAGTGCGATGCAACAAAAACGGAATGTATACGTGAATGTGATATAACGCAGCCGAATCAAGGTAAAAATTTCACGTTGAAGTGGAAATTCTCGATTTACATTTCTCATGATATTTGTATCTACGACTGACTTGTCGCGCGTGACAAACACCAACGAGCGAAACAGGAATCCTCGCATGAGGATTGCAAAATGTATTCGCCAAACGTATATCGATTAACGTTTGTTACAATACGAAGATGCAGTTGGCATATTTTATTTCTATTGTAAAGGAAGAAAAAGAGAGGACCGACCGGGACGTTTGTCGGAGCACTCTACAGAAATGAACCATAAATCGACGAAAGTCCGACGACCGTTTTATTAATGCAAAACGTCGTGAAATTATTCGAAACCGCGCCGAAATGAATTACACGTTGCGGAAGTAATGTAATGACCGATATAGAATATTCATGAAGTGAGAGTCTCCCGCGAAACTTTCTGAATTTAATCTCGGGAATCGTCGTTGATGTTAAATAATCGTTTATCGTCAACGCGTGCACAGTGACTGACGAGGAAAGCTCTATTTGTTATCAAAAATCAATATCAATATGCGAGACACTTGCGAGTGCAATATTTATATAAAGATATTAGAATGTAGAGTACCGAAAGAAAGCGGATTATCAATTATCGACCATATATTGACTTTGTTCACATACATCATGTGTTATTTGCTAATATAGAGACAAATATATGGCTAGTAATAAATTAATAAATTAATATTAACGTTATTTATTATAGTTGTTCATATGCGTTCATATAGTGTTCATATTGCTTAACTAACATACACATAATTAATATACTTGATATATTATATTAAAATACATATAAATATTTTATAACTAATCTTGTTTTAGAGAGATTGAGATACAAACTCAGGTTTCACTCGTTACGTAAATTCATCTCTCGTGGTAGACATGTTCCCTCTTTTTCAACAAAGGCGAAATCGTATTTTCGCCAGGAACGTTTGAAAAATCCGAAATGACGATAAACCAATGACACAACGGGTCGACCGTTTTATCATCAGTTGTCACCGTTTTATTAGTTGTCAGTCTGATGCGTCGCGAAATGACATGCGAAGTCACCGCGAAACGTCAGGCAGAAAAATCGCCGCGGATTGGACCGGCTGTCAGGAGAACTTCGCGGCAAGTTTTCCTGATCAGATTTGCGTTCGCAGGATGCGGTGCGCGATGAGAGAAGTCGGTAACACTTTTGCCACAGCAGCTTCAAAAGTCCACGTCGTAAATGGAGTGTCGACACGTGGGGTACAGCCGTTCGCAGTTTCCGCCCGTCTCGTAAGCGCGGTCGTAAGCGCGGTCCTCCGATCGCTCAAATCTGGTGCCGTCCTTTGGCAATCTACAAATAGAAACGCCGAGTGATGGTCTCCTCTGTCTATTCCTCCTCTGTATATTTTCCAAAGTCTCGAATCGACCGAAGTGACATAATTAATTTCTTAAATTAAAATGGAAAATTGGTGTTCGGGCGGAGAGGAGCTTCCGTTCCCTCGAAGGGAACGAATTCGATACTCGATTGAAAGAATTCGCATCTTTACTTACGTAAAGATTGCGTGGAGGAGCTCCTGGATGAAGGATCCCGTGCCTACTCGGGAGGAATCTCGCTGGCCCGCCTCGCAGAGTGCCCTCATCACGCAGGATCTACCGTCGAGGCCGGCGCTGCTGATAAAGTTTAATTTAAAAGTGTTCCCCGGCGTAAACTTTGACGACAGCTCGGCTTTCGCGCAGAGAACTTCTCTAGCGCGAAAACAATTACGCTCGAAACAATCTCGTTTCGCAATCGCAGTTAAAAGTAATTACGCCCTCATAACGCGCAACAGCCGCGCGTCGCGCGCGTAAAGCGCCGGAATCGCAAGTATTATTCGAACGGTGTCGCGATTTGCGTTTGCTATAAAATTAAAATTAAACTTTTCTAATTAGTAAACTTATCACATCGATTAGAACTGTTCCGCGACGTAAATATATCTATAATTAACGTATAACGACTCGATGATTACAGGCAACACGCCCTCGCGCATTTACACGATTTATTCGATCCATAAGAATTTTCTTTTTGTGACCGTAATTATTTCGGACGTGCTCAGCCGCACTTCTCGTCAACCCGAATACATGCTGAAAGATGGGGGAAAAGCCCCAGTTGAAAAATGTGGAATAACGGCACGACACTCACGATTGCAAGAAAGCCTCCATTTTCGGATATACGACGCTTCGGCTTCTACGTTGAAGCAAATTCGATATCTTTGAGTCGACCTTATTCGGAAGTTCCCAGGCTAAGGCAGCTGTCAGTCCCAGCACCAAATCACCGTCTCGGCCGTACGCTCCGATAGTCAGACAATATACTAACTGGAAAATACACGGAACATTCACGTGCAAATTCAGTTTTCCGCGTAAATTTTGCAAACTGCAAGCGGTACGAGCGGCGGCGCTTTACTTTTCTACTTTATCCGTGTACCGAAATTTGGGGAGGCAATAGAATTTCGAAGGTATACAAAACGTCTGCGAAATACTTGGCCAAATCTACGACGATGACTTGATTTTCTACAATTCTCTAACGTAATCTCAAAATGGCCTCGCCTAAGAAACGTTCTAAATTATTATGATAACATATTATTGATAACATATTTTTAAATATTAATTTTAATTTGTAGAAATTATTTAATATTAATGCATTATTATGTGTCGCGAGATTTATGTTATCCACATTTCATTAACTCATGACAAAAAAATATATAAAAAATTTTCAAATTATTAGAAAGACATACATATATATATACACACACACACACACATACACACACACACACACACTATTTTTATATCTTTTTCAAAACGTTATTTAAATGTATTTACCTGAAAATTACTACCCTGTGGAAAAATCAAGTATCTCTTATGTCGGGATAAGATTCTTGGCGCAATATCGACTTCCGTTGTGTTCTCATGGATGATCGTCGAGCCGACGAAGAAAATCAACCAATTCAAGCATCCGACAAGAATAGAAAACCGATGATCTGACATAACTTTCATACGACGCAGTGTTAATGCTTTTTCGGATCATATGTACCATCTACAGAAAGAATATTAATTAAAGAACAAAAGCTTGAAAAAAATCTGAAACTTTCTGTCAAAGAAAGAAAATTTACGATGTTTCACACAATAAAGCTTCGCTGTAAACTTACAAAGACCGGTCAGAATGAAACAAGTTCTCAAACCAAGTGCTTTTATTATATATTAATTAATGACAAAAATTACACGTAATTTAAATTAGCGAGAATTAATATATCTGTTTCGTTATCGATCGATATCAGCGGTTCATCACAAGTAGTCGTCGTTATACTAACGGCTGCGATCGGTGGATGGCAAGTATGAAGATTTGACAGGCGATTCCCGTTAACGGTAACGGTGATCACCGCGTGTTCTTCCACGATTTAATAGCGTTCGCGTTCCGATGATTCCTTGGCCAAACGGAACAATCGTCTGTTTGTACGGTGTGTTATTCACTTTTATGTCGTTTAAATAAACGTTTGCGAGAAGAAACAGAGACGTTATCGTTATCGTTATTATCCGCTCCGGACTGCAGTTTCCGCAGCACATTTTTTTCCCGTTTACAGTTCGCTCCTTAACGAGAGATGGCAAATTTACAACGAGCGTAAACATGGCATCACTGCTGAAAGGAAACACAAACAAAAGAGGAGAATTTGTACTAAGTATCCTTGAATCAGAGTACTGAACCGAAATGTACACAATATTAAGCAGCTGTAAGCATAAATGTTATTTTCATACAATAATTGTAAGAAAATTAGATAATTGTTTACTGTAGAACACTAATTTGTTTACTGTAGAACACTAATGACTTTGATATATAATTAACTGTGATATACACATGTGTTTTCAGTATATAACCTCACAAACATTTTTAAAAAAGCTTTAATTGAATTATAGCTTATTAAAAAATTCAAAACGGTGAATTCAATGTGGATAATCTAGAAATTTTCTTAAATTTGACATCCGCCATATTGAATCCATCATTTTGAATTTTGACATTAGCTTCGTATTTAGAGATTTAAAAACTCTTTAAATTAAAATGAACATAATTCAAAACTATTTGATAAATTGTCAATTACAAAATTTACAACTTTTTTATAATAAACCTCATATTTAACCATAAACATTTTATTATCTACATTTTATGACTCGACACAGAAAATTCCTCCCAAAAGCGGAAAATAGCTAATTCTGGTGTTACAAAAAAATCATTTTCTGTTAAATAGTATTATTTGCAAACACGGAACTATTTTAATGTAACTTTTGTAATAAAATTTACAAAAGAAAGATATCATCGACTACACAAATTGTAACAATTATTCATTTCTTTTTCAATACTTTCTTCTGTTTTTATCTTCTTTCTCACAAAAGAAAAAAATAAGTTTTATGACGCAAATTAAATTATTGTAATAAATCATGATTCAGAAAAAACAAAGAAATTATAATTAGATATAGAATAAATATGCATTGTTCTTTAAGTTTATTTAATGATAAATTCGATACTATATTATTGATCGTATAATTTTATACAAATGCAAAAATTATGAAAAATATTTCAATCCATATGTTTACTAATTGATAGATACTTAAGTGTTTTTTTCTCATATATATTCAAGAAGTTTTATCTCAAGGCAGAGCCATCGCGCAAATCCCGGCGGGTACAAATTGTGTCCGCAATTAAGAAAGTGGAAAATCAATAATTAGTCTACGTTCTTAAAGTTCTCAAAGATTCCTCTTGAATCTTTCTTGAATACTCTGTTAATTAAGGACTAGAATATTTAATTCGCTGGTAAAAGAACGATACATGTTGAATTTTCCGCAATGGAAAATTTTGAAATAATCGAGCGGATCATTGCTAAAACAAAAGGCTAATTTATTTCACTAAATTTCTTATTTATTTTATGCATATTTATTAAATCGTAATTAAAGAAAGAAACAATAATAAGAACAAGTATATATTTATTTATATCTTTAATAAATTAATAATATATAATTACAATACATTATGCTACATATATAATTAATATATACATATATAATTAAAAAAAGAATAATGCGCGGGCATCATAAATGCTGAAAATATTTTAAAGAATTTATAATTAATTCCTCTTTAATAAAAATTATATCGCATATTGTTCTTGTTCAATTATCAATGGAACGTGCGAGCAGGAATTCGTGATAAAGATACAAAACATAGGGGTAAACAGATGGGACGAGCAGTAGAGGAATTTTTATTTAATTCCGCTTGAGATTTTCCACTCTATTTCATCATCGCACCCTTCCTGCCCTTTGTCAATTCGGTGACTTGCCGTCACAAGCCTCCCTCACGTACATTCATCGCGACCGAATCTTTTTGTACCGACTTTATCGCCATGCACGTAATATCACCCGCTCGCTCGTGGTTTCGAGCTTGACGAGGCCTGAGCTAACGTGCCCTCTTTTTTTTCCTTCGGCGAGCGACCCCTTTGCGACGGAGGCTCGCGACGTCGGTGGACGAGTTTCCATTAATTGCATGCGGGAGTTGGGCGCGCGCGGTCGGTTTTCCGACAAGAAAACCGCAGAGCATTCTAAATTAATGCTTTTCGTTAAAGCGCGGCTCACCGGGAGCCGCCAGACGCAATTATATTGCGTTCTCCACTGAAATGTGCGACAATCCCGGCCGACGCGACCGTCCGCTGGGACAACGCGTGGAGACGGGAACGAGCGCGTTAAGAGGCCGCAAGCAAATGGGAGAGTGCGATGCGTCGTCGACGACGTGCCATTCCGCGATTATATCCCGTCGCAACAATCGCAAATTGATTTTACACAGGGTCATCGGGGCCCTCCTGAGGTTTTCCGAACGCGAACAAGGCGGGCCCGTGGGAGATATAGATGTGGAAACGTACTTGCAACGTATAATACATAATGGAAGTTACCGCGATTGTGGCACGCAAACCGCCGCGAGGGATGTACGGGGGGGGGAAGAAATTTCTTTACCACCTACCCTCCTTATCGATCCTCAACACATTGTTGATACTCTCAGCGGAGTGTGTTATTGCAGCACGCGACCATCTAATCCCGTAATGTCGATCTTGGCTTTTTAAATTTTTTTATCCTTCTTCTATTTGCAGGTGAGTGCCGTCTTCAAAATCTTTTTCAATTACCTCTGCGACTTTGGTAATTTTCCACAGTCATTGTCACGAGAAAAAAGATCTGGAAGTTACTATAAAATAATATTTCATCTTTTACCGACAGAAATATAATACGATACACTTTAAGAGAGTTATATTCGTCACGCATTAAGCAATTGATTGGTTTATAATAAAAGTTTCAGCGTTCTACTTTAATATTCTCTCTGTTACCCGTACCAATTCAATTATTCTCGTTAATGTTCACTTAAAAATAATTATCGTAAAAAAAAAATAAAGCAAAGAATTTCTCGCTATGCAAAAAGTACATACTGTTAGCTCGGTACGCGAAATTAACAATTCATATTCTCGATCGTTAAAACTTGCACCGGAGAACTATCTTTGACGTCCTTATTTCGATACAACTCCTATCACGAATGAAGCTCGAAATAATTACATCGCATATTCATTTATGTGCTAATAAAGCGGTCTTATTACAACGCCATATTCGTTTATAATGAAATAGACTGTGTCGCGGGACCTATCGTGGGGGCAACAATGCGCCGCAATTAAAAATACGCATTTACAGAGAAACGGTTCTCCCGTTGCTACACAATTTCATAAAGGTCATGCAAGAAAGAAGTGTACTTTAAATGAGACATTTTTTGCGTAATTTTTTTATACGTTACATAAAAATACTAAAACAATATCAAAGTCATAAAATAAATTAAGATATCAATTAACAATTGAACGCATTAAATTTCATGTAATAAGATAGACAATACAAGTAACCATAAAAATTTTTAAACTTAAAAACACTCTTCTCCTTTTAAATAATTGTTATCTTTATATGTGTAAATATGAAGTTTTTATCGCAGCAAAGAGTTAGATACAGCGAGTTTGGCTCATTAGCGTAATTGTAGTGACAACGATTGTAGCTTGACTTCTGAATAATATATGTTTGCGCTGGCAAATGGCGGACGCAAAATGGAACATTTTTTTAATTGCCAGATAGTCCAAATTAATGCTTTTTGTTGGAACCGGACCAGCTCGGTCCACGAGTAGCAATTATAATCGTCCTGTCGCAGGATGTGACAAACGGAGACGAAGGATACGAGAGAGAGAGAGAGAGAGAAAGCGGGAGGAAAGAGAAAGAGAGAAGAATAGGAATAATGCACAAAACTTTTTTTTGGCCGTAGCCATTACAGAAGACAAATTAATAGCACCGAAGGTCGTATATAACGTCTGGTAGAAATATCCTTTCGCTCATTTTTTGTAATACATACTATACTCCCTTCATCCCTTTCACCCTTTCATCCCTTCACGGCTCTCTTCTTTCTAGTCTTATAGCTAAACATATATTTTTACTACATTTAGTCGGCTGACGTACTACCATATTTTACTACTTTTCGTGTCCGATCCCCCGGAATAATTTGAGTGCGGTTTTGCAGCATGACAAATGTTTCATTAACCGCTGTCATTTCTCATAATGTCATTTAATGATAACTGTAAGAACAATCGCGTATAAGAGTGAGATGTGTCCTCAAGCGTTTTTGCTATGTCTATACTTATTCCAACATGAAAAATGGAATCTGTCACAAAGATTACTAAGCTGTTGGCACGACATTTCTTATATTATAATACACTGAGTAGACCTGTATTCTTACTTTATTTATTTTCATAAACAATATCGCTCTGTTTTTTAATACATTTATATTTATAACGTCTTTATTAGTAACAATAACATTTTGATATCTGCAATAACATAATTTTTTAATGTCAAAAAATAATATTTTGATCTTTTGTATATTTATTAGTAATACTCACAAAAATATCATTTGTAGAAAATTTCTATTTTTACAAATATAATCGTAATGTAGTAATGTTATATGTATATATTGCATTTAACGTATAATTTGTCTACGACGCAACCGAATAATTCCTCGTAACTTGCACTCTCTGGTATACGTCGGTACTAATTCTCCGTAAAACTATTAAACCCGACTAATTCCAGAGGGCAATTCCTGGTATGATACTCACAGAACAGCGGATCTTCGTGCCAAGTATCATTATTAATATACAACCTGAAAGCAACGACGATTAACATACCAGCACGTAACTGATATTAATATTACGGTACTCACCCCGCGAGTAACTTCAATATCTTCCCTAGAACACCGTCCTTCCGTCTCGCATATTGTAATGTCTGACAGATATTCTTTAGCAAGCAGGAACGACCATCAAAGCCATGACTAAAACATTTGCCGCGAAGTGAATTTAATAATTAAAGGTGAAATTATTCGAATGAAATTAGAGAAACTAATTAAAATTAATAAATCAAAGTTAATATAATTAGAATTCTAAAATAAATGTGTCTCAATATTTCTCAACAATATTATCAAAAATTGTAATGATTAAATAGATTAAGCGATTAAGCCTCTAATAATTGTCGTAAACGTTTAATAAAAACGATTAAAAAATTATAATTAAATATACTATCAGAAATTACTATGGAATCGTATTTACTTCATTGTCTTTAATTATCTTAATTATCGTTATTTTCCGAGGAAGATACATCAAACATCTGCACAACATAAATCAATTTCTTCATTTTCTTTTCATAAATCTTGAAAAGCTAAAAAACTTCGGTCGACAAAGCTGTGGCCAAAAATCTGCTAAAAGTCCGCGTGCCGACGACACATTGGTTATTCGACGTTGATATTGGCGGCGGAAGCCGGTCAGCCAGCCAGAAATCCATCCACACCAACATCCTGATTCCAAGAGTCCCAACTCTAACTAGACTAATCCCTGCCATCCTCTGCGTTTGCCTCACAACACTTTGCCACTATTTTCTCTGTTTCCTCGCGTTTCGTTGCTAATCCTACATTATGCAGCGGCTATTGCAGTATTTATTACCTTTCGTATACAAGCTCGGCGCATTCGTGGATATCGGAGATGGACCGGATGTTTCGAGGCCCACCGGTGGTCGGCAGTTCCCATGCCGCCTTAAAACCCGCCGCTTGCGCGAAGATCGTCGTATAAGGCA